ATGATATCATTGAAAATTGAATTACTCATATTAGCCATGAGTTTTATCTTTGATAAATCAAGATACGAAATAAAACATAATGATTTGATGGTAAAGAACTTGATGCATATAATACTATGTTAAACTCAATGAAAAAAGTCAATCATACAATAGTAATATTATAGTTATAATGTAATGTAAAATTATAAACTTATAAACTTACATAATTTTACAATTTTATTCGCATTAAATAAATATGACGTAACATTTAACAAGTGGATTCATAAAATCTTACATGGAGACTCATGAATAAAAATAATTAATTATATAATGACACATCATAATATAAGTTTACAATACCACATGGCATTGTAAGTATATCATTTTCTTTTCTTTTCTTTTTTTATTTAGGTTGCACAATAGAAAACAACTTTCTCTTATTTCTTGACTTACCACATCCACATATCATGCAATTCAAATTCACGAATTCTTATTTTGCTAGAAGATTACCATTAAATTATTTAATTTATTGACATAAATACATAAATATATCATTTTCAATCGTATAATAACACATCAAAATTATAAATTTACAAATTATGTAACATTGTAATTACTAGTTAGATAACCCTGAATTGGGGGTCTGGTGTCAAGCATAACTTTGAATGGACCAATTTTAATGAATACATAGATATTATGATTTGTAAAGCTATTAATTAATATAATATATGCTGTAATTCTAAAGCTTTCACAAAAATAATAATTCAGAGAAGAGAGAATTCCGTGCAAGGCTTTTAGATTTCATGGATTTCTCTTTATTTAGTTTTGTAAATAAAAAAAAAGGTAAAAAATAAAAAACAATGGATGAAATAATGAGAGAGGAAGAATGATTTAACTGAGTATACAATAATAGCTATAATTAAGTTATCACATATTCAAAATAAAAGTTTAAAATTTTCAATTACACACAATCAAATTATTCAATTAAGTATTCAATATAGTGCATTTTTTATGTAAAATTCCCATATCTTTAATATTTCTCAAAACACATTTTCACATTGCACAAGGCATATCAACTAGAGAAATTTACGTTTAGTGGAATCAAATTCTCTTGATTTACGATCGCCATGTCCGAACGGTTTCTCGGTTTCTTTCATCTCTCACCAATTTCTCCTTAATATGTAACTTTCCTTGATGAACACATTTGCTCTTACCTTATTGATCACGTTCTATTCCTTGGTAAGGGTGTGAGAAAGTAAATTCTTATGTATTCTCAAATGTAATTTCTCATATATTCTCAAATATTGGAGTGCAGATTAATTACTTTTAACTGGATCGGGGAGCTACACCATCTGGCAGGTGCACAAAATAAATGTTCTTCACTTTATTCTTTGATTGTGTTTCCAAATGGTTTTTATTGTTTTTACTTTTTACCCAATGACGTTTAGCGGTGTGAAAATTGGGATTTGGACTTCAAGATAAATTTTGCATCTAATATAAAATTAATTAGTAATAAATAGAATAATTTTTTTTTATATTTGATTTGTTAAATGAATTTTAAGTTAACAAGCAAACTTAATATGCCCTCCCTTGCGTAGGTTGGAATGGTGAAATTTTAGTATATTGGTTTTAACACAAATTTTATATCTAATTTAAAATTAATTGATAATGAATAAAATAATTTTTTTTATATTTAATTTATATATCTTTTTAATATTTTTTCAATAAGTGATTTTTTTTGCTTAACATATGTTACCCACATTCAGAATCAGTATTAACTGTCATGTAAATCTTAAGTTACAGACTTAAGAACCAACTTAAGAAGTAGAATTAAAGTCTTGAGTTATTATATATATTTGGAATCGAATTCTTAAATCGCCACATCGAAGACTTGACCTACTTGGTATTTTTAGTCTCTCTAGAACTTTTTTTTTTATTATTATTAAAGTTGTTTACTGTTTTATTTCCCTTACCAACAACCCACCAAATAAAAAGGAAAAAAACGAAATGGCCTTTAACTAGTGTTTAGGTTTAGTTGATGGAGAATTTGATTTTTATTAAATATTTAAAATTTTTTCTTTTTCCCATAACTCTCTATGTTCAAGAAAAAAAAAATGGAAAAAACGTGGTAAAAAGTGGGATATGAAAGTAAAAGTGGAACAGAGGATTTGACTCCGCAATAAGGGTACTTCAGCATTTCAACACAGATTTTAGAAAAAAAACAGCACTCTTTCAGGTTAACAATAAAAATGTAATTAAATTAATATTTATTAATTTAAAATTTTTAATTAAAAAATTAAAGATTTAAATTTTTATAATGTTAAACTGTAAACTAATTTTTATTAGATGTAAAGGCATAAAGAGGTTGGTAAGAAATTTTGCTCTTTATTAATAAAAATTCAATTTTAAAAAAATCACGAGAAGGTGAGTCATTATAAATCCCTTAATCATTTCGGTGCCGATCAATTCAATACCACGTTAGGTTAAAAAGGGAGAAAAAAAAAATGACACCCCGTTTAAATCCATCCATTCTAGACCACGTGGTTAATGGTTGATGTAAAAAAATGAGGAGGAATAAACGTATGAATTGTCTGACACTGTTAAAGAATTTGATGCTTGTTTCCATTAATGGAATAACGTATTTTGATGCTAGATTTGCTTTTCTTGAGCCTATATAAGCATTAGAGTTTGACTGCAAATATTCATCAAAGAGAACAACGCAAATATAATCAATCAAGTTACTTGGGTTTGAGATTTCCAGTGAAAGAAAAATTATGGCGAGAGGTAGTCAATGTGGCAGCAAATCTGGGGGGTAGTCAATGCAGCAAATCTGGGGTTAGCCAATGTGGCAGCAAATCTGGGGTTAGTCAAGGTGGCAGCTGGGGTGGGGGTCGTCAAGGTGGCAGCAGGGGTGGGGGTAACCAGGGTGGCAACAGGGGTGGGGGTAACCAAGGTGGCAGCAGGGATAACCAGAGTGGAGCAGCTAACAACTCCAGTGCACCTAAAAGTAACAGCGACAAATTAACCATTTGTGGTGAAATTACGCAGGGATCCAACGAAGCCAAGCTTTGCTACACACCCAGCGGCGACAAGACCTGGACCTTGAGCGTGAACCAGAAGTAATTCTAAGAGTTGTATGCATGCCTATGACTAATCATAGCAGCAGACACTGGATGGTATTAAACCATTCCTCAAGGTACTTACATATATCAATAAATTCTGCTGCTATGCGCCTAGTACCATATATTGTATCTTACCTTTGAAATCAAGGCATGTTGTAATGAAATGAGCTATGTACTATACGTACCAAAAAAATGAAATGAACTACTAAATATAGATGTCTATATTTACACAAATCAAGCTGATCTAGTAATAAATATGTACTTCAAAAATGTTCAAATTCATACCTAGTTCAAAGTTTAAAGTTCAGGGATGACTTTCTTGTGTTAATCTATTCTCTTCTATCCATGGAAATCTGCTCCAGAAAATGTTAGCATCAGACATACGGTTCTACTCTTTCATTAATTGAATCATGAATGTAAATTAAAAAGGGAAGGGGAGGGAAGATCAAGCCAAAAAAATGTTTTCTTGAATCGATATTAATCCTCCAAGTTCACCTAATATTTACTGGATTAAGCTTGAAAGCAATAAGTCCCTCTCTTGACTGACTTCTTGGTGTCACGATTTCCTTCTGTATTAATATGTCTTATTTTGAAAATGTGGCAGAAGTTCGTCCTCTTTAGAATGTGGTTCATATGCAGTAACTTGAAAATCCAGGACCACTCAACACAATCGCACTTCACCACTGAATGCTTGAAACTTAGATACAAATGGCCAAACCAAGCTTTTCTTTGGATATACTGCTTGTGTGTGCTACTTCTGCAGTGAAATTGCCACATCCATTTTTATGTTTTCATATAGACTAAATCGAAGGTTAGAACAACAGCCAGATATTCAGAACTCCATTGACTTGTCTCTGGTCTGTGTCTACTAAAAAGGGACATTCGAGGTTCCCAATCTATACTCATTGATAAAATACTTGACAATACAATTAACATGGCTCAGATGTGTCCCAAGCAACCCTGTTTTGCAGCAGAGAGATTAATTTGATTTAGAATATTTGTAATGCTAGGCATTGAGTTTAGCATTACTCACATTGAATGGTTCAGATTAAGAGAAATATCTAATGATGGTACTTCTGCCCCTTCAGAACAGTCCATGACCTGGAAAAAAAGGCCCTTTAGAGAAAGCTCTATGACTTCTCCTAGCAGATAAAGTAATAAAGATTATCTGCGGTAATGTGATGCAGGCTCAGTCAGAAGCAGCTAGATTCTGTAAATTTTTCAAACTGTCACAATTCAAAAAGTTCATTTGCAATGAACACAGATGTTTTTACCACCCCCATTTCAAACAAATATGACCTCAGTTTGAAGTAATCATTATCGATGCAGTAGCATATAAGTTGGTATTACTCTTACCTGTAAAGTTGTTCCACGAGCACAAGAAGTGCAATTTGATGATTCAAGACCATTGAAGATAACTTGACTGATATATTAGCACGTTCTTGTATTTGCCTTCCATGACCACAAGGTCCACCAATACAAAATAATAACCTTGAAGCTCCCTGTGAAACAGGAAGAGATAACATGTATAATTTATTATTATGAAGAAGAAACTGCTTCAAATATAATTTGGAAATGACCCAACCTCGTAAGCCAAAAAGTAAGATGCCATTCACAAGATCACTAGCAATGACTTTCTTGATTAATTAAAGCCTACCTAAGGAACAAATCCAAATTGATTTCAATCAGGTGATCTTATTTTCTCCAGCAAATCAAAGTACATGAAATCATTGGAAATTGGATTGCTCATATTTAGCCATGAGTTTTAGCTCTGATATATCAAGATCAGAAATTGAATTGCTATAAATAATTCTGGTCAAGGAAAAAAGAAAGATTGATACCAAGAAGAAATCCAATTTCACACATAAATTAACAACATTCTCAGCAACCTTTTAGTGAGTTGTCGTTCTCTACCTTACTTCCTGCATCTCCTACTAATTCAGCAAACCGCTCAGAACCTATATCCAATCCATGCTCATCCAACATCACAACCTATAAAGACAAGATCCCAAAACAAGGATAAATCCCAAAAAGAACAATATCTCCCAAACCCTCTAAACCAGACCAATAATGATACTAACAAAAAACAAAGTTAAACTAAAACTATGGAGGGTTTTCCAGACGAGTACCCAGTCATCAGACCTGATATGGTTCATGACAGCCATATCTTCATCATCAACCTGGGCCCTCACTTCTCTACATAAACAAAACCATCATAAAATCGCCTAAATTACTTTAGAAACTATAAAAACAGGTTAGGGGCATAAAATAACAGAAAAGGGAAATGGAAGCACCGTGCATTTTTGGGGTTAGACCATATTAGAACAGCATCAACAGGACAGTAGTTTCTAACCTTATCGACATCCCATCTACCAGCAACTGGACACCTGGGGAGTGGGGACCTCTTCTTCCCAACCGTTATGATCCGAATTGGCAATGCACTCTACCCACATAAAGAAAAGCTGATTACTTTCGTCAAAAATTCAAAAACCAAAAAAGAATTCAGCTAAAAAACATGGAAGGATGCATGGACAGATGGGTTACCACAGATTGACCAATGAATTTGCATTGTTTAACTGAAAATTTCAATCAAAATAAGATTGAGATTAATGAAATGTTGTAGAAAATGAAGTAGGATTGATTGTTTAAATTTTAGCGGAAGGAACCTGAACGAATACTTGTGTTGATCCAGTGAGGAGTTGCACAAGCGGAGATGGAGATTGCCATGAGAAATGGAATGAGTTCTGCTCGCCGGATGGATGATCTCCTTTCGTGATGGAAAACGACGCCGTATACTTCGTTGACGGCAAATAAAATCTTCTCACGTGCAGATTTTTTATTTTTTATTTCATCTTAACAGATACGTATTTGTTTTTCAATTTTTTCTTATTTTTATGTTTTTCAATTTTTTCTTTTTTTTTTTTTTTTTTTTTTATGTTTTAATCCACAATCACAGACAACTAATTGTTTTTATTCCAATCATTACTCCCTTAAGACATGAC